CGACAACAGGCCCAAACCCAAAACGCAGCCGAAACCCACTAGCTGAAAAACCCTAAGTTTCAGACTTGGTCTTTCTGTGGTTTCAAGTTTCTAGAAGCACTTTTTCCCCTACACCCAAGCCTACGCCTGAACCCTAAACCTCGAGCCCTAAATCCCATAGCGGCCATCGCGCATATGGCAGGGTGTAAGGGACGCGCGGTCGATTCCGACTAGAGCAGCTACCGCTTTGACGTGGTCGTCTTTTATACAAACACATTCTATCAGCATGTTGGTGAGCAGCTCTCTGGTTGTGTGGTTGCGGGTAAAGGCTCCAGGGTTTGATGGTTGAAGGCTTTCAGGGAGCTTGTGCGGGGTGGCTACTGATTCTGGATTTTTGGTAAAGGTTTGGTTGCGCAGACGTTCGTGCAAAGCTTTTCCGTGCTTTGCTTGTTAACACCAGAGTTCACAGTCTTCGCGGGTGTTGCTGGGGGATGGTGGGAGGAAGGGTTTAGAACCTTTCCTCTATCGCATGTCGATTCCGGAGCAGCTGAAGGTTTTGTGAAGATAGGGGTAGCTTGTATAGGGGTCCTGCAAGGCGGGATCCAATTATTTAGGGTTCTATATCGGAGTCATCCGATATTGCCTTTTCGCGGTGGAATCGCAGGACCAGAAGCAAGTCTCAAAGCATGGACTGCTCTCGTAGGAGTTCGTCATCTTCGCGCCCATCGTAGACGTGCTGCCGGTGCCCGGGTACTTTCTTCAGGGTGACAAGCAGGGCAAAAACACGCGTCGCAACAGTCGTTCCAACATGGTCATCAGCATCACCATCAACATCATCTCATCATCATCATCATCCTCATCATCGTCACCATCATCATCATCATGATCATGACCGTCACCATCATCACCATCACTTTCAGTATCACCATCATCGTCATCATGCCGTTCACAATTCCGTCCTCCTCCCCCATCCCCAGCTCTTGCCTTCTCATCCGGGATGTCGTCGTGCACAGAAAGATAACAGCAACAAGCACGTGGAATACCATCCGCGCAAGCAGTACGATGACACGCCCGCGCCTCCCAAACGCCAAACCGTCGCAGCAAGTGTGACAGATCCTGCCCGTTTTCTTCTTCTTGCTGGCCTTCCTGTGGCAGGCCGGCTGGGAGTAGTGGGTGGTGACATTTTCAGGCTGTTGAGGCATTGAGCGCGCGGTCTTTGGCAGCCTTCTTCTCTTGGTCGTCTTCGCCATGCCCAGACTGGACAGGCGGCTGTTGGCTTCCGCTGAGCGACAGAGGACTCACAGCTTGCAGCAAAGGAAGCCCCCATGTCAGAGCAGGTCCTCGCTCTAAGCAGAAGCGTGCCTGGATGCAGGACATGAGATTTTTCTCCCGCATACTGTGACTCAGCAATGCTGGAAGACAGCACATGCGGATGAAATGGTGTTGCCAGCAGCTGCGGTGAGCCAGAGCCTTGCTATCTTTCCATCCGTGAACATGCACAACGGGCAGCGTCCGAAAGGTCTCCACGTCTTGAGCATCTTTCAATACTCAGCCATTCGGTCAATACAGTAGATACTCCTGCTCCTGTCGTGGCTCCAGTTTTGGGTCGGGTCCCACTGAGCTGTCCGCACTTCCCTTCCTTCGCCTGGAAAAGAACGCAATGGCTGCACGCCGCATCTGGGCTGGAAAAGTAGCATAGAAGCCCTCCCACCCTAAAGCCCGACTTCGAAGTCCTCGCCCATGCTTTCGCTCCAGAGGTCTCCAGCATTTCCTAGACCCTCAAACCTCCCTCAGCCTCTGCAATAGCGCCTGGCGCCCTGATTCAATCCTCCATCCCAAACCGCCGCAGGCCCCACACACTCAGCCCTCTACCGTGACCCCTCCGACCTAACGGATCCAGGCTCCAGCGCTCTTGTGCTCATCGCCGCAGTGGCGGCTCTCTGCCTCTTCCAGACCCTTGGGCCTCATGAACCTGTATTTGCAGACATGAGAGGTTCAGTTTTCATAGCCTTTTGCAACGGTTGCCGATGGTCTTGTTAAGGTCCACCTGACGCGAAACGTTTCAGGGCTTGAAGGTTTTGGCGAGTGCTCGAGGGGTTCGGGTCCAAAGGTCTGATGTCGACGTTCGGAGTCCAGCGCTTCAGGCTTCAGGGTCTCGAAGGTAGGCTTTCAAGCGTTGGGCACCGAGCAAAAAAGTTGGGTAGTTTGGAGGTCTGAAACCCAGTTCCCAAGCCGAAGCAGCCTAGAACCTAGCCTGAGGCCTAAGCCCTGGCATCCCAAAGTCAAAGTCTTGGACGCTGTGAGGCCTAAGCACCGGCCTTGCAGCGCTCTGGGTCTCCTCTCCTTTTCGGATTTCACGGCCCCCGGCCCCCACCCTCGGCTTTCCTCGGCCCAGGAGCGCGTTTGTCAGCCCTGGCAACCAGAACTTGCGTGGAGAGGTCCAGACTGGTAGCAGGGATCTGAGGTGAGTTCGGGAACTCTTGACACCAAAGAAAGCTGAAGCTGGGACCCCACCCACTCCCCCTTGCTGTCAGGTAATGCGAGCCTGAAGCCTAAATCCTCGAAGCCTCAGCTTCCTTGCCCCTAGGCCCCGGACTTCCTAAACTAAGCTCCTAGACGTAGGATTGTCCACAGCAGGTTTCTCAGGATGTGGCCAAGGCTGCTGCCGTGGGTGCTGTGCTGGCCACCCCTGAGGCAGCACATGCCCGGCTTCCCGAGGAGCTCTCCTGCGTTCTTTTTTTTTGGGTTACTCCGACAAGATAAGTGATAGTTTATGATAGGTTGGAGGGAGTCGGAGTCGCGTGGCTTCTGGTTCAGAGAGTTCTGTGTTGAGGGACACACACACACACGGACACACACAGACCTAATCATTTTGTGCGATTTCGGTGTAGTTTTGCGGTCAGCAACGTTTCCTGTGGTACTCTGGGAAGCAGGACATGGGTGCAAGCAGGGCCGAGCTGAAACAGCACCCATCTGTCCACAAAATCCTGAGGCAAGGATTCATTGAAAGCGGCTTAGATGGAGTTGAGCAATGTCAAGGTCATTCACAGCTGCTACACTCAGGCTCTCCTTGTATGTGCCCGACACACCGAGACTTGACACACAGCAGCATGCAGCTAGTGCCCAATTTAACACGAGAAAAGCAACTACTTTTGGAGACGGAGTTGGTGTCAAGTGTTCTACCCGGAGGAGTTCGTGATCTTCGCCCCGATCGTGGACGTGCTCCCAGCCGGGGCCCTTGGATGATGTGAGGAGGAAGGCAAGCCTGAGGCGGTCGAGTGTCGAGTGTAGCTTCGCCTCGCAGATTTACGAAGAGTTGCCATCAACATTGTCATCATCATCATCATCATCATCATCATCGTCCTCGTCGTCGTCCTCGTCGTCATCACCATCACCATCATCATCATCACCATCATCACCATCATCAGCAGCATCAGCATCACCTTCACCCTCAGCATCAGCACCACCATCACCATCATCACAACACCAGCAGGAAAAATGACTTTTGCTCATCCTACACAGTCATCTTTGCAAGGGGGGGCGATGCACCTCTGCTGCAAATCGGGACTTGATTTGTCGAGCTTGTTCTCCAGGTGCTGGAGCTTGGAATTGTGGGCTGGTGTCACAACGAACTTGGTCAACCTCTCCACAGAAACGACAAATGAGCTATGTGGAAACGCCCGCATCAGCCATGCCAGATCCTTCCGGTGTTCTTCTTCTTGTTGGCCTTCCTGTGGCAGGCGGAGGGCCGAGGGCTGCCTCAGGGATCCAATCTTCGCACTGTCTGCGAATGTGTCTTGCTAAGAGATGCCAGAAAGTAGCACGACGTCCGCAGGTGACATGGCCTGAACCGCGACAGCCGAAGCCCACAAACACGAAAGGTGCACATGCCTTCATGCCAACGTTTCAGTCCCGCACAGGCTGCCGTCGGCTTCCGCTGAGCGGCCCGAGCGGGTTGGTGATGCGGACAGAGGGATCGAAGCCCGTTTTTGCAGAAAAACGCGAGGGGATCGTCATGGCCAAGCTCTTGAAGCCAACCAAACTCTTGAAGCCGCCAAAAGCAATGCCCCCGCAGCCCTATGGCTCGCGCCTGCTCGACACGGCCGTGCCCGACACGGCCTCTGCCGCACGGCAGCGATGCCTGAGGACCGATTTCGCTGGGGTTGGTACTCGTTTCGGCTTTGGCTCGAGATACGAGTAGAGGTTCTGGAACATGTGCAGGGAGGGTGCTCCAAAAGTCTTGCTTGCGGCTGAAGAGGGCGCAGTCAAGCGATCAATGCTTGCAAGGCCTGTCACCGCTCGCTTTTAAGTGTGCAAGCTGCCTGTGGGTGATAATTTGATGGGTGATTCCTGTAACAGTTTACCCGTTTCGAACACGGTTGCATTTTCTGTTCGCGACGTGCAGCACTTGCTTCTGACGAGATTATTCGGGATCAAGGCCCTTGCGATCAGGATTCGCCGGCCACTCTTCGAGAACTTTTGAGACCTACTACCAAAAACTCACAGACCGCGTGGCGTCAAAGGGACACTGCTGTTGCTCGCGGCAAACTAGATGGAAGCCCCAAAACCAAAACCCCTCAAAAGTCCAAAACCCTGGAATCTCCTCTTCCAGGAGGGTGAAGGCGAGAAGAAGGACCGGCTGAGTCTGCTCGGGCAGCTGTGAGACAGCCCTTGAGAAGCTCTCGTGGGCAGCATTCTGGACATAAACTGTGCCCTCCTCCAATTGCAGGACAAAGATGAGGAGGAAGAGCCCGAGTTATTTGTGGGCGACTGCGTTCGTCGCATGGTTGCAGATGCAGTGCGGAGATATCGCAGCTCATGCTGGCTTGTCTGGGAACATGGGCGTCGCGCGGCATGAGAACCTACCCTGAAGAATGCGCGAGTGCAGTGCATCGAGAAGTAGCGTCCGGGCCTGCAGGCCCCAAAAGCCTGGACTCCACTGTCAAGCCCTCTCAAAAGCCTCAGCCATGCGCAAACCTCGACTCCAAAGTCCAAAAGCCCTTCAAGGAATATGTGGCAGCATGGCGGAAGTCAAGAAGCACCTAGAGGCTCGGCCTTGGGGCTATGGTGGCCCAAGTTTAAGAGTCGTCATGGGCTGGAGGAGCTGGACAGGATCAGAGCTGCGGCAGTTGGGAGGCTTTTGGGCTCCCCTTAAGGTCTCCTTGTGTTCGGCTCAGGTCTAGGCCCGATCCCGAACTCGCATTTGAGCCTCGTCGCGTCACGCCTTGAGCACCAACCAGGAGATCCTGAAATCAAAGCCCTTCTGTGGGAGGCAGTTGACATGACTTGGGAGGGGAGCTTCATGGGCGTCCTGGGAAAGAACGGCATCGTGAAGGCCGGCGTCTTCAGAGCATTCAGACGATGCGAGGCCAATTAGAAGAGGATGAATATCCGGACCCTGTGCAGGCAGTCCGTTTCCACCCGGGAGACGACAAAGCACGACAGATCTGTGTGTGCCCCTCGGTCCACGGACTTCTCGTTTAGCAGAGGGCACAGCGGTGAGGGAGGTCCGGTTGCAGTGTCTTTTGTGAAGGGCTTCCGCAACATACCTGCAACGTTCAGGTGGTGAACGTTCACGAAGGCCCCGAGCTTTCCCTGCCAGGTGGGCTCGCTCCTTTCAGGGTGCTCCAGGTCAGATCTAAATATCTTAAAAATGTTGCGGTTGGGTGTCGTACGGTGTCGTGTGCATGCTTCTACGAGTAGTACAGAGCACGTAGCAATTCAGACTGCGAGTCTCCCTGGACTAGAGCCTAGGTTGCTTTTCGAGGTTTGCTTTTTCTTTATGCCAGGCGCATCGCTGACGGTCGTCGAAGATGACGAGAGCGACAAGGAAAGTGTCGACAAAGGCTGGCCTCGCATGATGTCCGGATGATTTGGGTCGATTTATTGCTACGGCATCTTCATAAGTCTTTTGCACCAGGCAGTGATGATGAGGAAGAGGAAGAAGAGGAGGAGGGGCTTTCGACAGCGAGTCGCATCCGCCTTGAACAGTGAACGTTGGCCAACACCGCAGGAGCGAGTTCGGGTGCCGCTCCGCGTCAACATGCGAGTCGAGGAGAAAAACTCTCTGGAAAAAAATACTTTTCGATGCAATGTCCAACACGGTCATCTTGACATCATGCTTACACGATATTGCATTTTACCCGAACCAGCCGTTCCTGTCAACAGATCGTTTGTTGTAGGACATGAAGCGAAAGAAGAAAAAGAAGGTGTGCATCGGAGACGCTGCCTCAGGAAAGCTCCGAGCGCAAACATGGGTGAGCTTCAAAACCTGAGTCTCTCCCATGCCCGATGCCCCAATCCGGAACTGAGGTGATCTTGGAGCTCGGTGAGAGCGAGACCAATGTGAAATACGAGGCAGCTTCCGTCCACCTCCAGTCTCTATGCCCCATAGGGTTCGAATCGACATTGTTGTCGTTCTAGCCTCTATTCTGCCGGAAGCACCACCATTCGTCTGTTTTAACGCTCGTTCTGTCAGACATGCAGGATGGTCGCACCAAGCGGGTTGCGAATACAAGATTGCGGCCCTTGGAACGTGCCCCACGCCCAGCTTCTGCTCGACGTCAAAATGCCCTTGTTGACCATGCGCAAGCATGCTCATGATGCACAATTCTATGGAGCGCGCCAAGGTAACGCGCGATGCTACTGGCTACTCTGGCGACAGCAGCTTCAATGACCCGGGGGCCTTTTGGATAAAGCCTGGCACATCCGCAGCAACAGATTTTACCCAATCCCAACTCGTCAACCACAAGATTGAGAGGACTTCCGCTTTACCAAGAACTGCCTCCCGACAGGGATTGAGGCTCGGGTTGCGATCTTACGCGTTGTCCACCACCTGCGGCACGATGTACGTCGGGATACTGCGGTCTAACACAGGGCGCGGGTCTTCCTAGCTTCCATTCTTGACAGGTTGTTGGTGACGGCGCTGACTTGGAGAAAAATCGAGCAGGTGGGTTACAAGAAGAGTTATTGCAGCTGCGAGCGCAGTAGATATGCTTGATTCAGGTCAAAGCTACCTGCTGCTGAAGAAGCGCCCCTTCTGCAAGGATGTGTTCTCTGCAATGATGCAGCCGGTCAACATGTAGACAGCAGCGACGAACAATTTTGGGCTTAGGAGGTGGAAGGCCACCCTGTGCCACTTTTCCTCTCCCTGCCCCTGCCCTGACTGGCCAGCCTCCGCCCGCCCCTGCCCCACCCCTGCCCCTGGCTGAGGAACACTTACTTGAGGGTGCCACTACGGGGCCTTCGTCATGAGAAGCCACGGCCCCAGAGTGCCCTCAAACACCAGGCGGCCGAACACCAGGGGTTTGAATCCTTCAGAAAAACTCTGTCACCTGGAGCCCGGACCCACAGGCCTCACTACGAAACCGCGTTCCCCAAGGAACTGCCTCGTGGCATTCAGGGGGTTCGAACATTAGGAACCTGAACGTCCCACAACTCCTAGCTTCAAGCTCGACAACCGAAACGTAGTCCTAGGCCTGAACATGTCGCCAGGAAGGCCTCTTCCCGGCTTCTATGATTCCGCAGCTCCCTTCAGACAGCAAGCGCTTACAGCGCTGACAAAGCATCTCTGTCCTGACTCTGAAGATCTTATGCGAGGCTGCGGCCTGGGGAGCCTATCCCCCGTTACACGCTCTCCCTGGAGGACGCATGGATGCGGAGCCGGGTTTTGGGGACTCTACGTTGGGCTGTTCGGAGACCTTTGTGGCCATCAGTGTGTGAAGCGTCTGCAGTACCCAGAAATGTGGTTGTATGAATGTTGTATGGGCCTCTGGGTTGTGAGGCAGCATTGCCTACGAAGTGCGCTTGCTGTCAAAGCGGGCGTCTAGAAGTGTTTCTGTCATTGATGTCTCCTTTGCAGCATGGGGCGTCTCAATCCCCGAAGGTTCGCCTTGCAGATAGCCACAGACGACTGGGAGATTCTCCCTGGCTCGGAGCCTCGGGAGAGTTGCTGGTCCAGTGGGATAGTGATGTAGCGATGCGAACTCTTTTTTGCTGTGCTGGGTGCTTATTCGTGAAATCCTTCGCGCCGCTGGCACTGACAGGCGCAGAGCTTTAAAGCTGTTACAGTAAGTTTTCTGCGGAATCTTTTTGCCGTCCAGTGGCAGGATACTTCACCAGAGCAGGATGACATACCTGTGCGGTAGATCCCCTTAAGCGCCAGATCTAGCCTTCGCTTGTGCTAGAGCGCTTCATCTCCTCCTTTCTTTGTTTGAAGGCTTGCGCAGAGGTGAGCGAAGGATTCGAACAGCTTGGCGCATGGTGTGAAGGAAGGTGAAAGGAAGGCGCAGAGATGTAGATGGGTTGGTTATTTGGTCTCGTACGCGAGCCATTTCTTTGCTACGTCCCAAAGCATGTTCTCTTTGGCCGCCTGTTCTACCCAGACAAATCACAGCTCAGGTCGCTCTTCCAGGCGAGCTTTCCAGATCCGCACTCCACCGACGAGCTTTGTGTTGTCTTGTGCCCAGCGACATCTGAGAAGCACGTGTTGGAGTCGACCCGAGATGCGACCGTGTATGGGAAGATCCATGGTGCAGGTTGGTGTCAGTGCCCCGCATTCCAGCGGTGGATTTGTTCGTACATTCAACCAGCTCGGACTGTTCGGTTGTCTTTTTTCAGGCTTTCTGAGCTTCTTCTGCATGTGACAAGGTCGCTGAAGACAAGCCGCACAAGCGCAAGTGGAAGGCTGGGGCTTTGCGGCAGCGGCTGGGGCTAGGGACTGCAGGGAGCTAATGATTTTCAGAGTTCCAGGGTTCAGGAGCCCAATTTTTGGGAAGTTTTGCCCCGGCCTCCTGCCAGGTGCTGACCAAAGAGAACGGTCTCGTAGTGAATGCAGAAGCGGATCCCAACTCCAAGGATTCACCGAAGGGAGACTCGGGTTTCGCGGACATAAAATCAGTGATTGATTGTCGGATAATTACAGTGATGAATGCTGAGCTTGGCTTGAAACTAGTGTGGAGGGGTGGGGCAGCTGTTTTGCTTGCGCTTCAGGTCAGTCCAGGTTGTGGGGTTCCGGCTGGCGGGTTTTAGACCTCGATCTCAAGCCACAAACCCTGGATGCAGCTGCCGCTACTTGCCATAATTCTGGAGGACTTTATATCAAATCCGAAACTTGCTGGTCCTCAAACGAAGGAGTTGTGCCGGCTTCCGGCCAATGCCGTGGTTGTCGAGGCGAGAGAGAGGGGGGGGAGAGAGGGAGAGAGAGAGAGAGAGATAGAGTCAGGATGCAGGGCTGTTCGATGGAGGGTATTCAGTTTGGGGAGTTTGGGTCCGGGACTTTCACTTTGGGATTGTGTTTAGGTGGGGTGCGGAGGCCACCTCGGGAGCCTTAGGGGAACATGACGCGGTGCGAGTAGGGTCAAACCAATCAAGCTTGACAGGGTGATGGATCCCTAAACCGAACAGAACCTTGTGAACGCCTACTAACAAAGAGCACGCATCAGGATTGCTCCATGCTCTGATGCTGTGTGGAGGATGGCATTCCGCCAAAGCGGCTTCCCACGGGCGAAAGGCGGCTTCGCATCCGCTACAAGGCAGGAGCCCGGGCTTTCAGCTCCGGAGTTCTATGCCGAAGCCTGAGGCCGATGCGGCAAAGCAAGCCGACGGGGACCTTGCCATCGACACCATGGAACCCGAGGCCATGCAGGGCAGTCAGTTGAGGGTCACAGGATGTCACAAGTCCCGGATTTTATGTGTAGAGTTTGTCATGGCGTGCTTTGGTGGTACATCTACGAGCCTTTTTGCAGTTTCTTGGGCTTAGAAAGTTGCAAGGGCTTGCTGGAGGTATTGGGGACAGGCACTGAAGGCCACTGTCGACTTCCAAAGTGCCCGGAGCCGATCTCTGAATTTAACCCCCTGCACATGGCCGCGCCTGGAGGAGTTTGTCCTGGAGGTCGAAGCAGGAGCCAAGCCGGGTCAGTCTGTTTGGAAGGCTTTGGGCTCATTTTCTGAGGATTCAACTGGTAGGTCAGACCATCTCATCGGACGCGCTCAGGGTTTGAAGGCCCTGAAACCATCCGAGGCTCCAGCAACCAGTTCGAGCCGCGAAGCCCCGACATCACTTTCAGCCTGAACACCCACCGCAGCCGATATAGCATAGTAATACTAAAGCATAGCAGCAGTAATTAGAGTACCGTATAATACAGATCAATATGGTATAGTATGGTATAGTAGTATAGTAAGTATAAATATCTACTATAGCAGGATACTTTGGCAACGACTTCGGAGCGGCCGCAACGGCTATTCGAATCTGTTCCAAGGGGGCCTCCCAGCTGAAGAGGATTGAGTTTCCTCTGGGAGTTTGGGTCGTTCCGGCAACCTCCTGGTTTGGGCAATATTTTTTTTTTGGGGGGTGTTTGTCTGCAGTCAGTGTGCAGTGACATGCCGGGGTAGAGAGCCCTTTTCCCAGCGGGTTGTTGCTGGCCACTGCAGCTTCCCTTTCTCGTCGAATAGTCCCACGCCCCATTCCTCCCTAAAGCAGAAATTCAGGCGCCGCAAAAGACTTCCGCAGCTCAGGTCCTGAAGACCCTGAACTTCCGCCCTGGTGTTGAGGGAGGCCTCGCCGGGGTGGACGGGGAGGCCGGCGCGAACATCGGCGCGGGGACCCAGGGCACTGAGCCTCTTTCCTTGTGTGTTTTAAGGTTTGGGGTTCCAGGGTTTCTGGACTGTGGCGAAAAGCCCGAAACCTAGGCTGCTTTTCTGCATTGGGGGCTTGATTCTCCGGACGTTCAGAGATTCCCGGACCTTTGCTTTAGATTCCAAGAGCCCTGCCGAAGCGTCTCGCCAACGTCGTCTGCTTGCCTGCGTGTGCATGCATACATTACACTGCACAGGTTCTTCATGGGTGCGTTCCGAATGTGGCTGGCAGTGCTGTTCATAGCACAGGCTGGACACCCCGCGATCGGCTGATGCACATTGTGCGGATCACCATCCGGAAGACAGGCTTCAGCGGATTGATGGATGCGGGCTTGCTTTGGAAAGGCTTTTCGGGCCTCCGACAGGGATCGTACGGTTGGTGTGGCTTCTTGGGGCTCTTGGGCACTGGAAGTTTGGGGATCTCTTCAAGCTTGCACGGGACTTCAGAGGAGGTCATGCAGGCGCCCAAGCTTAAAAGCCTCCGAACTTCGTGCTCAAGATATCTTCTTCCGCGTCAGCTCAAGTCTAACTTGCGCTGAAAGACGTCAATTGAAAGTTGCACTTCGACTGAAGCCTCGCTGAAAGGCTGGCACACCTTCCAGATCATCGATGCTTCCGATTCCGAGAAGACCTGGTCCAAAGATTTCAAGGCCTCGGCACCGGGATGTGACACCCTCTTGTTTGAGACGTGCCCGAAGCCCAAGCAGGTTCTCGGCTGGTTTGACGACAAGGGCCGAATCCTCAGCACCACGACCTGCAGTTTCGACTTATGAGACATCTGAGCCCAGTATCTGCAGCGTGCCTCAGGCGTGGGCGGCATCTCCCTGACGGATCCCGACAACGAAGAGCTGGAGCTTGGCAAGGACGGGGCAAGCGGAAGTCGTTCACTGAAAATAAAAAGACGCGAAGGTTTCCTTGCCTTTCGGACTGCAGAAGACCACTTCTGAAGCCTTTGTACCCCTTCGCCAGGAGCGCGAGTATCACAACAGCGGCACCCACAAGCTGCGCTTGCGAAGACTGGGAGAGGCTACGTTCTTCGGGTTGGTACTAGTAAGGTTTGGACGTGAATGGTAAGCCCTAAACCCTAAACCCTAAATCCGTCGACATGTTGAGTGGTTGAATCCCCATCGTGAGTAACCAGGCTCCTGTTACCTGCCTCAACCAGCATGGTATTCCGGAACCCTTATCAGGCGAAGGAAAAGAGGTGATAAAACAAAAATCCGTCTTCATCCCTCGATCTTCTTGATCTGTGACAATCTTTAGCTGTTCCAGATGTCTTGAAGCCAGCAGGCCAGAAGTTTTATCAGTTTATGGTTTACGGCTTCGGGGTGAGGTTTCCGGGGTACTGGTACCTCAGGACAACTGGGGCCCTAAAAGAAGCAGTTTGGGCTCCGGGTCCTTTTTCGTTTCGAAGGCCTCTGCCGACATGGACGACAAGTTCGACCCCCGTGGCTGGGCCGCGCACTCTGGGCTGCAGATGCCATGCCTCTGACAGGCCTCAACGCCATAGAAGCCAGAGAGTCAAAAACATCCGTAAGGTGACCATCCGCAAGACCGACATGGAGCTAGTGGAGGCTTCGGGAAGGGCTCGGGGCCGGATAAGGGGTCCGAAGGCTCCAGGCTCTTCTTTACGTATGCGTCTCAATAGGGCTACCCCCTGTTACAGTGATAAGCGATAACCATCGATAACCCTAAACTCGAACGCATAAAAGGCCCGAGAGCCCCGGGAGCTCGCAGTTTCAGTCTGGAACGTGCCTTGTTTCTTAGCCTTGGTCAAGCCTTAGTCCCTAGTCTCAGTAGTGGAGAGAAGCATGAGCAATAAGTGTGAAGATACTGGTAGAAATACTTGCACGGTTGGAAATGGCAAGACACCTGCTTGAAAACTTCTTCTCTGCTAGGAAGCGCACGGTCAGAAGCCGCCAAAGGGCCCACAGCAGGAAGCTCGGGAAGCACTGCGCGTCCTGGTGAGTCCGAGATGCCAAAGAGGTGTTGACAATTCGGGGACTTCAGCGAAATCCTAGTGGGGGATCGCCACGCTATGCAGAGTCCATGTTTCGCCTAGTCAGCTCTGTTGCCCGCCCGAGGTGCTTCCTGAAAGCCGGCTTATCCGAACGACCAACGACCAGCAACAGGCACGCTTGGACTCTAGGAGTGTCTCTAAGTTAGGAGCCTGGATTTGTGGGTTGCTGCTGATTTGGAGGCTGTCCCTGAATGTGTGCGCACCTTCGCATTCAGATTTTTGGGCTGCAATCATTCGTCGTGAATACGTCCATAGGTTCTAGCAGTGCTGGGTGCAATGGCATCGTGTTCACGCAGCACTCTAGGGGTTCAAAGGTTCTAGTCGCCAGCCAGCACCAGTCAGGACATGAAACCTGCATCGTGGCACCGGCACCACAAGCTCCGCCGAGAGCCGATGATATGCGCTCTTTACCTAGCACATTTGCCTCCTCGTCACATCATCTGTGCATGCATTGCAACAACGCCGACCACGCTTCAGGGCCAAAGGGAGCAGCCCTAGTTTCCTAATGCCCCTGACCACCATTGGGCATGAAGCCCTCAAATCTCCGTCCAAGTCTCTTGGCAAAGCCTGCTCAGGGAGTGGCCATGACTACAGATTTACTGCCTGTCCGGCAGGAATCCTGGCACTTCCTGAGGTTTTCCCGAAGGGCTGGTTGCTGTCAGTGTCACCGCGCAAGCGGTCTGTTGAGAGCGCGCCTGACTCTCGGTGGGGCACTGCTACTGAATCCTATCCAGAATCGGCCTTTTCTCCGACTGGGCAGTCACTCCAGCAGAAAGAACTGGCAGCTGGTTCAGCTGTAGTGGCTCCTCCTACCAACCAGGTTCCACACCCGATCTGTTTCCATGGCGGGATACTTTAGCTGAAGCAGCGACACGACTGCGAAATGGTGATGTCATCCGACGCGAGTTGAGAGCTGTGTCAGTCTTCACACCTTCACGAACTTGGACGGGATCCGCATGGATCCCTGTGAGCCCATGCTATCACTCCCAGGGAGGACTTGTCAGCAACCGCACTGGTAGTTTGACGTGTGCGCTGGCACAACAAAAAGGTTGTTTACCACTCACCCAGGCCACTTCATACCGACTGCTCGGCCCATTCAAGCAACAGGTGATCCTCCATGCGATCACCTGTTGGGCCATGTGGCAATGGCATGTGACAACAGTCTATTACGTGTGCGGATTGCGAGTGCTCCTTGGTTGCGATTCAATGGCATAACAGCAGTCACAGAGACATAGACCTACTACGTAACTGTCTTTGAGGTTTAGTGCGCCTGGTTGCCGAACTGCATCGAACCACACCAACCAACTGTTCAACATGTTCTGATGTAGGGTTCGGTGCCTGTGCGAGGTACTTGCGATCTGATCGCTGGCATACGGTGACCATCACCGCCGACTGCCAGGATCGAACGGTGCCCGTGGCTTGATTGCTGCGCCTCCAAGAAAGTGCAGGGTAGAAGCCTTCAGGGCAGAGCTACTCACCACTGAACAGTCATAGAATCTCATAGAATCACTAGTATCAGTAGAGGTGTGTGGGTATGGATGCACGTAAGTAAGTAAGTAAGTAAGTAAGTAAGTAAGTAAGTAAGTAAGTAAATATGTAAGTATGTATGTAAACAAGTAGTTAAGTAATTAAGTATGTAAGCACGTACGTAAGGTAGGCAGTATGTATGTATTCATGAATACTATATGTATGTACATATGACCGTATCAGTTCATTCATGTAGGTAGCCGGCAAGGACTGTTCTTGCAGCCTCTACGCCCGCACCGCAAGCCGGAGACTCTGAAATGGTCCAGGTGCTCATCTTCCTGGACGGTATCCAAGCAACGGAAAAGGAGATCAACATCGGCCCGGGGCTGATTCATGGGGTTGTGGTTGAGAGTCTCGGACCTTCACACCTAAGCACTCAAGCAGGCTCTGCGCCGCATTCTTTTCTCAGCATGTTGTCGACTTCGGGATACTCGACGGGCTGGCTGTGGAGTCCAGTGCTGATCGTACAGCAGTCTGTCCGCCAGTCCAGAGAAGCATGGTCGTGTCGCATCGTTTTTAGCCATTGCAATTTGTTGTGATCACGTTGACGGGGTGGTTGATTGGGAATACAGGGTTCAGTCATGAAGTGCGGCTGCATCAAAGGGTTTATGTGAAGGCATCTCCACAAGGGCAAGTAATGTATCGTGGAGATAATTGCGTGGAAACCGTTGAACAGCACTTTGCGTCACCATAGGAACGGTGGCCGCACAGAACGAAACTTCCTCAAACTTGGCAGGCTCGGGACGCTTTCTGCAAGGGATGCCTAAGCAGAGAAGGGTTTTCAAACATCTTAGACTCCAAGCTCTCAGCCTTAGGCCGGGAACACTCGAAAATAGCGCAGCAGAAACGGTGGCTCTCCTTAGGCATCACCGCCGGGGGTCTGGGCACCGACGATGCGGGCCGCCGGGTGCAGGGTCGGGAGCCCCGAACTGAAGCAGATGGCTGCTGAGGTTTGGAGGTCTGCTCAGGTCTGTTCTCTCTTCCAAGTTTTCAGGCGAACCTTGGGACGTTTCACAGTGGGATGCCGCCGGCTGATTCCTGCCATGGCTTCGCTGTCAAAAAGCGAGGCATGGAACGAGTCTTTCCGTGTACCCCAGGCTCAAGCAGAATTTGTTTTCGTTTGCTCGTTGCATCGAGTGATGTCGTCCCCAAGCACCGGGCCGGTCAGGATCGGGATCTCACCAGGGCTCACACGTTGCTTCTCGACCCCCAGTCTCTTTGAATCTGCTTGTTGACCGTTTGCAGGACCTCGATGTATTGCAGTACCTTAGATTATGGTACCCTTGCAGATTTTCTCTTACCCTTATAGGTCTGGTCCCAACCTGACAACAGGGTCGAATCTTCCAGGAGGTCAGATCCGCCAAGAGCAGACGGCACCAATGGTTCGTCGATAGCTTTGACAGCCGGCGCCTCACAACACCAAGCCCTAAGTCGGTGCCTCCGATGTTGCCGTTTTGAAAGGCGGATGGAGAAGAGCCGTGAACAAAACCTAAACCGGAGATGGCAGCTGAGGACTTAGGCCGTAGTCAACCTGTTGATTCTTGGGTTCTACTGCTGGGTTTAAGGTTCAAGGCCCCCCAGGAAAAACTCGGGTGGTCACCTGCTTGCCTAACTGACCAGCAATGCCGTCATGTAGAAGCTTTCAGAGTGAGTATGCAACTCCTTTAGAACCCTCTCGCGATCCCCTTTACACCCTCCTAGCAAGGCCTGTCCTGTTCATGGTTTAGCCTGGCCTCCTGCAGTTCCGAGGTCACGACTCTCCTGAAGAATATGCAGCTTGGACGGATCAGAGGTGCCGTTGTAGGCGCAGGCTCTAGCGCTCTAGCGTCTCTCGGAGCAGCAGCTGCATGGGCTCTTACACAACCTGATTTCAAGCCTCAGCCCTCTGAGTGAAACCACAGCAGGCCACAACCCCAGAGACGTGCAAAGCCAAGACAAAGCAAATCTTCGCAAAGCCACAAACACCCACACCCTACTGTAAGAGGCACCTTACGTGCCTTATAGAATCCCTTACAAGAAACCCCTACACCCTGAACACGTCACCCTATACTTCCGTGTTCAAACTGAGGCCCCAATAACAGGCTCCTCCTGGTAAGGAATTTTATACTGTATTGCAGTTGCAAAAGGGCCCTAAAAAATAAAAACGCGTCACCTTGAAATCCACTCTGCAAAGGATTGGCGCGGGCATCTTCTCGCTGCCCATCGGCCTCCGGTATGCCAGTCCGATCCCGGGCCTGGTGGTGTTGGGGAGCCTCAACTGTGTTTGGGGTTGAAGGGTGGTGAAGAAGTGGGTTTTTGGGTGTTTTTGGGGTGAGTTTGTGCGTCTTGGCTTTGGGTTTTGGTGGGTCTCTGGAGTGGAACGCTGCAGAAGACTTGAGCTGGGACGGGCCCCCCCTCATTCTGCTACCAATAAGGCGCGCAAACCGGCAGCCGTGTGCAAGTGCTGTGTACGGTTCATTGCAGAGTGGCTGGCATAGGTTGGCCACGGCTGGCAGCAGCATGCAGGTATGGATGCATGGATGGACGGAGGGATGGAGGGATGGACCGACGGACGGACGGACGGACGGACGGAGGGATGGATGGATGGATGGATGGATGGATGGGCAGAGGGATGGATAAGTATATGTATGTACAGATAGATAGGCAAGATAAGCTGAGAGGTCGAGGGAGATGAGAGCAACACCATAAACGAAACACATGCCAACCTGCAGTTCTCAAGTGTTATGGGCGAATTCCAAGGATCATTGGCATTCTCAGTGCTGGATCCTACTGGATGGTTGGGTATTCATGCATTACCTGCAAAGCAAAGTCGTTTAGAGAGCTTTGGAACAAACTTTTGAGTGCCAAAACTGCGTGGCTCATCGATGTTATCATTTTTATGAATGGCTGGATTACGCTCGTTTGCTACATTATCTTGATCGGCGACTTCATGACCAAGTCCTTCCTTGGATTGCTGGGTCCGGACCACCTGCTCACAAAGAGCCGGGTGTTGAATCAAACTGTCATCACAGCCATGGTCTTGCTTCCTCTGTCTTCAGCAAGAGACCTGCATGTATTGGCGTACACCTCCATTCTCGGTCTCGGGGTGTTGGTCTATGTTCTGATCCTAGTTATCCATGATTCCTGGATGAACTCCGCCAGCATCAGTCACGACACCCCGCTGTGCGAATGGAATATGGGTATTTTTGAGGCCATCTCTCTTTACACGAATGCTTTCGTCGCCCACTACAATGCCCCGAAGGTCTTTGCGGAACTGGCGAACCCAACTTACGAGCGCTGGACCCTCTTGGTAGCGATTGCATATGGCATCGCTTTCTTGGTATATGCCGAGTTCGCTTGGGCAGGTTTCCGACGTTTCGAGCACGAGGTCCAGGGCAACATCCTCAAGAGACTTGCCTGTTCAGCAAGGATTGATCGCCCCTGCCCAGACATCGGGGAGAAGCTTGCAGGGGAGTTTAGTGCTCGAGGGTTATGGACCCTCAAGCACACCTTGTGTTCCGTGAAAGCTCAGGAACTATGGGCCCTATATGCACGTGCTGATCGCATGGCTGGGCATGGGCTTTTCCATTGCGTTCACCTATCCACTGGTCTTCAACTCGGCACGCGAGGTGGATCACCTGAGGTTGTGTTTATTCCAAAGGCCATCAAATAGATTCGAAGGCCATGACTCAGGTACAGCACCGCATGCACCACTACTCTCCCATGGAGCAGTCCCTGTGTCCCAACGCTTCGACAAAAGAGGTACCCTGTCCGGCACCACTCAGCACGTAACATCCCACCTACAAGGGTAGCTGCTGCGCCGTTGGCCACAACATTAGCCTTCTGCCACCAAGTCCGGTTTGGTGGCTCCTACTCAAAGCCTCCAGGAGCTTCATCTCAACTTTGTGACATGCAGGCTGCCACAAATCTGCTCAGCATGGCCCAAGAGCAGCTCCAGGCGCCTCGAAGCCCGATTCAGGCTTCAAGCATCGCATAAGCCCCGAACCAAGGTTGCCAAGTTTGCGGCGGAAGTTCTAGCATGCATGGGGCATCATGGGGCACAGGCTTGGAGTGGTCAGGGTTTTGGGTCCCTTTAGGGGTTACTTTAAGGGCTACTTGGGCTCCAGGCAACATCTTGCGGCTCGGCGCTCTGCGAGGCCTTCAGCTCGCGGGTGCAGCATCTGCAGGCCCCATTGGACAGAGATGAATATCAATAAATCAGAAATTACAATAGGTGCAGACTTGTGTGTATGTATAACTGTATATAAATACATATATGCATATATACATACATACATACATACATACATACATACATACATACATACATACATGCATGCATACATACACAGAAATATAATGAACAATCAAGCAAATAAATAGCATAATGCTGGATACATAAATGTACCTTTCGTCTGAGTAAACAAACTCGAAACACACACATACATGTACATATGTCTGTATACATGTATATATATATACACACAGAAAGCGTCGCACTGCAGGCCCGTGTTTTGAAGCTTTCTTTTTCTCCATACTATAGGCTAGGATGTTGCAAGAATCTTGCATCGATTTGTTTGTAAGCATACAAGTAAAATTATTGAAC